AGCCAGAATTCTCTTCAGTCAGCTGCTGAACAGTGTGATGATTTGGGCACTTTCTGAATCATTTGTAACTTAGATAATATAGTTCAGAATATGTGACTTTTGTTGCTTTTCTGAAAAAGGAAAGTTGTAGGAAGCATTTTTCCATGCTTTCCCAGAAACTTTGCAAAAGCATTTATTATTAGCTGGTAATTACTAAACTTACTATGTTGCTCTGAGAAATTCGCCAATGTACTAAGATGTGTGTGGTCATAGTGCACAGTGACTTTTCTGTTACTCATCACTAAAGACTGAGGTGAGGTTATGAAACTTTAATCTTTCCCATCATTTAGGCAGGAGGATGCAATGACTACCTAGAAGCTAATGATACAGACTTTTTCGCACACAGGAGACCCAAGTGTCGTGAGATAGGTAGTTATCAAGGACTTGAGCAGAGATGGCTCTATTCATGAGAGCATTTAAGTGATCGAGAACAGTGCTGCAGAGACTTAGAAACAGACTAAGAACAAACCTGAAGACTGTAAGTGTGACCACCTCACACTGCTCTCAGGAGAACCCGAATACAGTTTGAGATTTTCCCTCAAGAAATAGAACTGATACTATCATTCATCAGTAGCTCACTGACCAACAGCTAAAGTCCACAAGACAGCGTGGCTTTATGCAGAAGCCAGTGAAGTGGAGGGCAGATGTGGCCTCTGCTCCAGACCAAACTAAAATTCTGCACAGCAGTCATTTCTTTGGCTTCTATTTGGCTTTATTACTTGGACCAACCACAGCTTCCTTATAGCAGTTTCATCAGTGTTGCCTGGGAAAACTTCAAGTAGTAAGTCAGTGGGTTACCAGAATATTTCTACCCACCCAACTTAAGAAAAATTGAAGAGATATTCCAGAAGATATACCTAAGTAGCTTTTTATAGTAAAGTAGAGGTAGAAATGCTTTAAAGATTTTCTTCAAAGAATGAGCCACAGTGGTGGGTGTATAGAAAATTGCTGGTGTTTTGGAGCAAGGACTTTTCACCTGCTAGAAAGCATCCAAAAGTGAGGTGCTTAACTCCAGGCACC